GGGGATGCGTGACTGCGTGCTACTTGGTACATTCGCGACCGCTCGTGAACTCCTTAAATAGGTCCGAATTTTAAAACTTGCCTAATTTCATCCCTGTATTTTATTAAAACTTCTTGTTTTCATCCCTGTATTTTATTAACTTTTACGTCATTTTCACGGTGTACTTATGTCTCACAATCCCCATTGGTGGCCGAAACTCACATGCCTAGGTTGCTCGGTCCATAATCATTTTCGACAATGCAATGGCTCTACATAGGAAACCGCAACCCTGTTTATATCACAACTTGGAGAATTTTAATCAACCAACATAYAGAGGGTTCRATTTGGTTATGAAGTCGACAACCTAAAACAATAAATATTGTTTTATTTTCCGTCCCTTTCGATGCTAATTTTATAGTTTGTTGTAATTTTAAATCATAAATCATATTATTTATAAATTCAAAGTTAAAATGTTCCATTGGTTAAATATTTTGAAAAAATGTTTTTAACTCAAAGTATTTGTTGTTCTTTGTCTTTTAAGGATCAACTTATGCATTAGTGGGTGGTTTATAGTTTTTACAACATATAATTGAAAATTAAAATGCAAATTTTATGTTTTAATAAAAAAATATGGTAAGAATACTAAAAAATTATCTCTGTTTTGATAAAAATAATAATTGAGTACCAGAATATTTCAAAAAGATAGACCGATATTAAAGTGAAGCAAATCAATTGGACTCTTATGTTCCATATATGAATTATTTATGAAAATCAAGTCAATTTATTCTAATTCAAAAGCAATATGGAGGCTTTGTATTAAAAAAAAATTATCACATAGATCGATTGATGTTTCACAATATAAAAAACCATTTAATAATCAAATATAAGAATGATAATAAATATAAATCAATGCTCTAAAAGGCTTAACACAACGGCCGTCATGGCACGCCGTGTCGCCGTGACTCAAGACTCATGTATGACACCACGACGTTAAAGCTTATGGCATGCATGGGTGAATACGCAATCTTGTAATGTGATATTTGATTTTTCTTACGTATTTAGTGTCTTTTAATGAAGTAATAGATAAAAATATAAAGACGTACCTTGATTTCTTAGACATCGGAAGGTTCTTATATATGATAGAGGCCTACAAACGGCCTCAAAAAGTATACTGCTAATAATTATACCATGAATAATTAAGCAGAATAACTCAAGCAAACATCAACTAAATCAGTTTAGACAATGTTTGGGGAAAAAAAACAATAAGTAGTTTATTTGTTGGGTACATSTTCAGATGGACATAAGCTAACTTATTGATAAACTAATTGTAATAGTTTTTTAGGAGCTACTTGTAATAAATATTAAATCCAATTATTAAAAAGTTAGTGCGCATTTGTTTACAACTGATCATGAACACATTCATACTATAAAACAACGTTCATGATATTGATCATGAACACATTCGTACTATAAAACACTTATCTTCTTTATGGGCGATTCGATTGAAAGCAGTCAATGAGAATCCCTTTTATGCTTGTTACATACTGTTGTTACTGACAAATCTGTGATACACAAAGTGAAGGGTAAACCAATCACGAAACACATGGGGTTCTTGGTATACAAATTCATTAATTTCAACTATACAAYAGAATATCATAAAGCKTTTTGTCTARTGCTGCAAAGATGGATTAGAGCTCGAGGAAATGGAAAGGTGCTGATGTGCTCGTGTTCAACAACATACATTGGTGGAATTCTAAAAAATGACACGTAAGTAAGGTGATGATTGTCTAGGGGTTGTTGGTTTTATTCTCTACAAGTCCTATACCRGATGAAATCGTCTTTATAGATTGTGAAGGTTTTTCATAGATGGAAGGAGGTCTGCTTTTTAATTGGAAAGGGTAGCTTGGAAAAATTCAGTTTTCTGCATAAAACTCCTCCGTAGAAGCTTACTGAAATAAGACACCATCTACATAATTAAGCCACTGTCAAACAATCATGTGTGGTTGACTGTATCACTTGTGAGTCCCATTAAACTTGTAAACTTCCCTAAGTGTATCTTACCTCACAAAATAGATGTTTTTGTTGACTAAATTTGAAGCACTTCTGTTAAATAGGCTTGCATCTAACAAAAAGATCAAAACATACAGAACATAACTAATAGTACTTTGTCGTATTAGTAAAGGTTCCACACTTGTTATGCATTTGAACGTGATTATAAGTTGGTTATCGATCAGTTTTATAGAGTTAAATATATGGACCTTATGAAGTACGTATTCAACAATCAGTTATGAACTTCAATTGTAAGAGATTTTTGAAACATGTGATTAGTGCTTTATAACATGATATTTAGATCGATAATGTTTGATTATGATTTTTTTTTCTTGAACATATTGTTAATCGAATAATTAATTGTGAGTTAACACTTGAGGTAACATTTTCATTTTGGCTTTCGTCCCAGTTGCTAACTCTGTCAATCATTTACTGTTAATTGGAGTCATGTGTTTCTGATATGAGACATTTTAGTCATTTTATATGTAAATATGACGTGACATCTTTAGAAGAAAAAAAACTCGAATTCCTCTCTCCTCTTTTTCATGTTTGAAAGATCGTTAGCTCTTGTTGGTATTTGCTTATTTTCTAATCCAATTTAAAACCTTTTCCATCGATCTCTTGTATGTTGTTCCTACGTTCATATTCATTTTCATATCTCCAGATCTTGAAGGTAAACCCCTGAAAAACAACAAGACCCCTAAAGACTAAAGCAAACAATCAAAGAAAACAATCTTTATCATAGTCCAACGTCGTTAACTACATAAAAGTTCATGTATTTCGTTGTTATTCATATGAATTCACCATGATTGAAGAATAGTTACTCATGTGTCGTTTTTTCATAATTCCACCGATGCCCCTTGTTGAACACAAGCACATCAATGCCTTCCATTTTCTAGAGCTCCAATCCATCTGTTCAGCATTAGATACAAGGTTTTATGATACTCGATTGTGGTTGAAATTGATGAATTTATACACCAAGTACCCCACTAGATAACAAACATGAACACATGGGGTACTTGGTGTATAGATTCATCAATTTCAACTGTACAACCGAGTATCATAAAGACTTGTGTCTTATGCTGGAAAGATGGATTGAAGCTCTATAAAATGGAAAGGCATGGATGTGCTCGTGTTCAACAAGGGGCATTGGTGGAATTAAGAAAAACGACACACGAGTAAATATTCTTCAATCATGATGAATATGAACGAATACCAACAAAAGACATGAACTTTTATGTAGTTAACGACGTTGGACTATGATAAAGATTGTTTCCTTTGATTGTTTGATCTAGTCTTTAGGGGGTCTTGTTGTGTTTTAGGGGTTGCTACTTTCAAGAATTCGGAGATATGAAAATGAATATGAACGTAGGAACGGCATACAAGAGATCGATGGAAACGGTTTTAAATTGAATTAGTAAAGAAGGAAATACCAACAAGAGCCAATGATCTTTCAAACATGAAAAAGAGGAGAGAAGAATTCGAGTTTTTTCTTCTAAAGATGTCACGTCATATTTACATATAAAATGACTAAAATGTCTCATATGAGACATACATGACTCAACCTAACAGTAAATGATTGGCAGAGTTAGCAACAGTGACGAGAACCAAAATAAAAATGTTAACTTAAGTGTTGTTTTGTTATAAACTGAATTATAGGGATGAAAACAAAAGAACCAGAAAACACACTCACTKATAAAAATTTCTGATTTACCTTCTCTTTTTACATATTTGAGGGACCATCTTTCATTTTATAATACCCTGTCTTTTTGATCATTTATATATTAGTTCCATAAATAATTAAAATTTATC